CAATCAATAGGTCCTCTCTCACTTGTTTTGGTATGGTCAATCCCCAGACTGCTCCTTCTGAAATGCTGTTTTCCTCAGAGCTCAGAGTGGCCCTGTGGGAATTCTCAGTGTGAACCTGGATTAGCACTAGTCGCTGTTATATTATTCGGTATAGGCCAGCTTATACTGCACTAACAATCTAAAAATCACGGTAGCGTAACATGACAAAAGTGCCTTAGTTACGTAGGAAGGTTCTGCAGGGGTTGAACACTCAGGGACACTGGATGTGTGCCTCCGTGACCACCACAGTAGTGGAAGGAAGCCTGGTTCTTGAAGTTTTCCACTGAGAAGAGAACAGGTCACGCCCACTGATATTTCACTGGCTTAAGTAAAGCACACAACCCCATAATACCCCAAAGAAGGACAGAAACATAGTCCTACTATGTGCTCAAAGGGTGGAGGATGAACCAGAAATAGTCAGTGAGTCATCACAACTAGTCTCCCATGGGCCCAGACAACACACCTTCCCAGCATGACGCGCCCACAGGTCCCTCTGGCACTGTGGGCAAGAGCTACTCAGAACCATATGAACGCCTCCAGATACAGACCCAGTCTGTTCTGAGACCACACTCTCTCCCACCACAACTTAGAGAATCTTTAATTATAGCAATCGGCCCCGTCATCTCTGCCAGAGATATTGGGGCGAGTGAAATGAATTTCTGCGTCACACAGTCTGTTCTGCAGCCTCCTTGAAGAAGACCCATTCTTTTTAAGGAAATTGTAAAAAGAAGGAAAGTCCTAGAGTCTCCTCTCCTCACCTACTCTAGTGCCAAGTAATTATGTCCCTCCCATCCCTCCTTTCCTGACTATATGAAGCACTTGGAAATAAAAATCGCAAAAAAAAAAAAAAGACAAAACAAAAAAACAGCTAACGAACATTAAATATTGAAAGGAGATATGATAGTGTGTGTGTGGGAGAGTGAATAAAATAGATCTCCCCCAACCCACGCACTCTCCCTCAGAAAGACTGTCTAGGAGACATACCCAGTTGGGCTGCAGGCTATGATATAATTAGAACAATATTGCCCAATTGCAAAGATGTGTGCCTGTTTGCATGAAATGGAAGCATCTGCTGAAATTATTTGAGGTATCCCATCACTAATTAAAAGAGCTTTCATTTATAGAGGCTGCACCATATGGGTGCTGTTGATTCTTGGGTTGCTAGATGTGAATGAGAACTGGAGGAGTTGTTGGGGCAGGTGTGTGGTGAGGAATATCCGGGAAAATATGATTTAACTTTCCAAAAATTCTCCTTACAAGGAGGTCTAGGGACGGGGGAGGCACTGCTGGAAGTTGTTTCAGCGAGGCACAAAAACGTGACACACCATCCCACATTGCACCTGACTGTGCCTGCAACCACTTCTGAGCTTTGCCCCTGGAGCCTTTCTATGCCCTCTATACTTGCCAATTCACTGTCTTCAAGGAAAAGTGTGTCTTTAAGGGGATTTCCAGGTAAATAGGATCAGCTACAGAATTTGTGGAGCCTTGTACAAAGTGAAAATTTGGGGCCTCTGGCTAAAATTTATTTACAATTTCAAGAGAGTGATAGCAGAACATGGAGTTAAGACTGAACAGCAAGATGTCCTGGAAAAAATGGGTGCCCATCATCGGTGAGGAGGTTAACCAGAGAGCCATGCCAGGCACTAGTCATCCCAGCACACAAGGGACTTTCACGTGAGCACTCTGTTGAGGGCCACACAACCCATGCTGTTGACAGGGCAGACACAGAGAGAAGAAAGGATTTGCTCTCACGTCTCCTTATGTGGCAGAACCATGATAAAACCCAGATGCCGAAGTACAGCCCCACATGCTTTCCCTGCCTTAAACCTTACTGACTCAGAAAGTCCTGTCCTCTATGGACCTTACTTTGCATCATTTCCTCCCAACAAGTACATATTCTAGGAACCCATATACACCCCATTTAGCACAATGAAGTAGTTCAAAAAGGTACCAGGAAAAAACAAAGTCTGTACAAGCTAAGCTAGAAACAGATGCATTCAGGTGACATTATTAAAGATGATTTTTACTGTTCTTCCCTAGTTAGAAGGAAGGTAATAGATTATTCAAGATGTGATTTCTAACCAACTTGAATTTAGATGGCAAATAACTGGAGCATACTGGAAATGTTTATAGAATTCTTTTTCTAAAAAAAAAAAATTATTGGGGGCAAATAACAGTCATGAATTAAGACCTCTGGTCTAGCGCTAAGTTTTTGTTTTTGTTTTGTTTTCATTTTTTAATTCAAGGGAATGTTCCCATTCCAAAACCTGTTGGGATATAGAAATATCACCATTTCAAATTCCAGTTTTTAAGAAAAGTTTTAAGGAGACTGGAGATCCACAGCAACTAATGGATTTAATGACTTTTTGAAAAACAACAGAAATACAATACATCAAAATTGTCCATATGTAGTTAAAGCTGTACTTGGACAGACTTAAAAATCACTTACCTAGAGTTTCAACTTAAGAAACTAGAAAAAAGGAGAGCAAAACAAATCCAAAGTAGAAAAGGGAAGAGTGAAGGTTAAGCATAAAAATTAATGAAATAAAAAGTAGGCAGAAAATTAACATAGCAAATCTGATTCTTGCAAAAGCTTAACAAAGTTGACAAACTCTAAAAACATCAAATAAAAAAGGAAAAGGACACATATCACTAATTTAGGAATGAAAACAATTTATCACCACAGATCCTACACACATTAAAATAATAGCAAGAGGATACGATGAATAACCCTCAAATCTGAGAATATAGGTAAAAATGGAGGAATTTTGGGAAGATGACAACTTACAAAAATTGATGGAGGAAATTGAAGAACTGGGATCCCCCTGGAGGCCTAGGGTTTAAGTTTGAGCACTATCACGGCTATAGCCTGAGTCCCATGCCCAGCCAGGGAGCTAACACACATATGGGCAGCAGACCTCTCCTGTTCCCTTAGCAGTGTATCAGTATATTTCACTAAATCCGCCTGTTCTTCTCCCTACTCTGTCTCTGAGGAGTCTTTTCACACCCCACACTTCTTTCACACCCCACACTTCTGGCCTATACCCCAGTTCTACACACACACACACACACACACACACACACACACACACAGAATGCGTAGTGTATCTATTAAAGAAATTGTTTGAAAAGAAATTAACTCCATTCCACAAAGAAAAATCTGGGTTGACACAGCATGGTACTCAAAATAATGACTTTCCAAAGATGGCTCCATCCCTAGAATTTGTGACTATGTAGCAAAAGGAAATTGTGGCAGCAGCTGTTCCTAATCAGCTGACCTAAAGTACAGAGAATATCTTGGGTTAGCTACATGAATGCAATATAACCATAAGGATTCTTAGATATAAAAGAGAGAAGCTGATGGGTCAGAGTCAGAGAACGCCTAAGAAATACTCAACTGGTCACTGCAGACTTTGAAAATGAAATGTACCTTGAGCCAAAGAATGCAGGCAGCATTTAGAAGCTGGAAAAGGCAAGAAAACAGATTGTATCCTGTAAGCTTTACCCCAAAAGAACTACATCCTTGATTATTCCTTCAGTTTAACCTAATGAGACTCATTTCAGGCTTCTAGCATCCAGAACTATAATACAATGAATTTGTGTTATCTTAAATCACTAAATTTTTAGCCATTTGTTACAGAAACAGTAGTTTCTCTTGTGAATTCTAACATACAATGAAGAAAAAAAGTAACTGATACTACATATATTTGTCAAGAGAAAGGATCAATGCCTACCTCATTTTCTACGGCCAGTATAATTTCAATACCAAAACCTAACCAAGATATAACAACAATAAGAAAATTGCAGACCAATATATCATAAAAACATTTGTGTGGATAGACATGGGTTGTTTTCAAGGCTCTTTTCTTTTAGTCTTTTTAAATAAAGTTGCTGTAAACTTTTTAGATAAGTCTTATGTATTACACTATATCCTTTCATTTTGCAGCAATGCAAACTAATAAATTGTCAATACACACAACAAAATGAGTATTTCCCAAAATAATTAATGTGCTGAATGATAGACGTCAAATTAGAGTCTGACTCCTGGATCCTAGATCATAGTACTTTTCCTTCCCCCCTACATCTACAAAATGAGGGTGTTTGCTAAAATCCATATATGTGATAATCCCCAAAGCACATGAGCATACTGAAGCAGATCTTGTTAAATAGCGAGCTGAAATAGTTTCACAAGGGTAACAGGAAAGCAGGTTTCTGGATGTTAGAAGACTGGGTCCTAGTTACCTTCTGCAAGGGGACCAACCAACAATAGTTTCTATCTTTTGGACTCTGTTCTCAGTACCACTTTTGGTTGGTTGCTATGAAACAAGGGAACATCTTAAAACATTGTCAATTGCACTCTGAAAATTGGTGGCAGAATCAGGATTCAGATATAGAGAGTCTGGCCCTCAGACTTGAGTGAGCAACTGGAATGCTCCCCTGCTCTGGACAAACTCTCCCCTGGAGCACCCAGCTATGGCTCTTGGCAATTGCCTGAATTTTGATGTTCACTTTCTAAAGTGATGGGTGTGTAAAGTCCCACCTTCAGTCATTCATTTAGACAAAGATAGTAGGATATTATTTCAGTAAGGCAGGCTATCGTTTCATTTTTGGCCAAGATGGCTCAACATATAAAACCACTTTCCTTGGATGGCATTTCCTTCAACAAGGATCATTTCCCATCAGTGCAAATGTCAATGAACAAATTGTCATGGAGTATCTGTGGACCACTGCTTTGGGTACATTGGAAGGCACATTAAGGAGTTTGTAATTGGGTTGGGGTAGCAGTAAGATATAGGGGGAAATGAGAGGTAATACGGAAGTATAGTTGAAAATGCAGACAGAGGCTCACACAGAATCCAGGTAGTGGGAACTGGGTTGGGAAGGTGACTAAGGCTGTGAGGAGAAAATGATAGATTCAGAAAATTTCAGGCTTATAAACAAATAACAAACTCATGACCCACCTTTGTCTTCTTTCTAGGACCTCAGTTTATCTCAGACATGGTTTCTGATCATCCTTTCAATGGTTCTTCAAAGGATTTTCCAGAAAGCTCTACCTTGTACTTCAAACTCCTCAGCCCACCACAGTACTAGAGTGAAAAGAAGTAGCACTGTTTTTGTGTGTTAAGTCTAAAAAAGAAGCAAATCAAGCAGCTGGGAGATCCAGATTTCTCTCAATAGCTATCTAAAAGGAAGAGAACAAAGAATCCTGTAATTTGTTTAAATACAAGATAGGGAAATGATGGCTTTTAACCAATGTAATTTTGTATGTTTCTGAATTGAAATAATTATGTTTCTGAATCAATCAAAATTTCCAATATAATCAGCCTCCTTGATAGAATTACCTGGACTTATTTAAAGAAAACAAGGAGTACTTCCCTCTTTCAATTTAAAAGTATCAGAAATCAATTTCCAACTTGTCCTCAAGGAAGCTTTCCCCAACCTTTCCTGAGTGCATTTCTATTTCCTTGGTGCTGTCCTCCTCCTCAACAACAGATGTATCAGTTGAATACTAACCACTATATGCATCCTGTCTCTATTAGGTTAGGCCGCCACAAATACACTCCCTGCACCTAGAGGAAGGTAAGAAGACAAGATAAAAGTGGCAGGTACTAGAACGGAATTCAGCCACAGGGGATGTCATCAAGAAGTTTCGAGGGAACTAGTGTGGTAAAGGGCAACCTGAGGTTGGGGAGACAATAGAACACACAAGACAAGTTGTTGAGAGATTATGAGGACAAACCAACAATTTGTACAAAGGCAGAGTCAGATCCAGAGTGGCCACCAATATCCTTTGTAATGGATGGGGGAGGTGGCTACTAAAGCTCTATAGTGGCAAATTGGGATGGGGAAAGGTAGGTAAGCATCTATTGTCCTGTGTTGATGTTGGGACCTCAGTGTGGCATCAGTGACATGGCTAATTGGATCCAGAGAGTCAAGGGGAAAACCCATGGGAGAGAGCAAATATACCTTCTCTGAGGATGGATGCAACAAATGCCACTGTGGCAGGAGGCATTGGTTTGTTGTGTCTTTATAGGATAAAGAGAATTTTTAAGGACAGTGACTGCCAGTGGATCTCTGTGGTCTCGAGAGTAAAGCACAATCCCACCAGTTGAGCCCTTGAGGTCCTCTGTATACTAATAATTGGGGTGATCTTCCAACTCATCAATCAGAATAGTTGGCCACAGAACTAGAGTAGCTGATCCTGGAGATACCCTGCGGTGCTGATATTAATCTTTAATTCTCAGTTTGGGAATAAACTGAGATATAATATAAATATAAATATAATATAATAAATATATTATATAAATATAAATATAATATAAATATAAATAAATATGCCTCCTTTATCACTTTAATTCTCAGTTTTGGGCCTTTGTTGGGGGGAGGGTAGAACAAGTTATCCAGGTTAATAACTGCATGTGGGTAAATTTCAATACTTTAACAACCATGTTTTATAATTCTACAATGAACAACCACTGAAATCTTTGCCCTGACAACAATGTAATCTACAGAATACCTCAAGTTTAACTTTCTGTTCCCAGCCACATTGGTTTCCTCATCTTTTCCCTCCCCCAACTTATCAACTAGGTCAAAACTCTCTGACTTGACTTTTGATGCCCTCTTACCTGAAAAGCTCTCATGTCATCCTGGATTGTTGCGAGAGCGTAGTTTATTCCAGCCCTGCTCTCCTCTTGCCTGAGCTAGTGCACCAGAGAAGTACACATTCCTAGAAATAGCTTGCTTTCAGATGGGGCACTCCCTGGGGTGGAAATGATGCTTGATATATTTTGCTCTTCCTTGTGGGTCTCCTACAATATTTTCACATTGCTAAGCCCACATCTGGCCTTCAGTAAATGCTTTACATAAGGAACTGAACAAATTAAAAATAATACAATTAGAATGGTGAGACAAGTTAGAGATGAAGAAGTGAGAATTCCCATCCTCTCATCCTTTACCCCTACCCTTGTGGAAATACTTCTACTTATTGCACTGATCTGTGTATTAGCAATAATATCTGATGAGTATTCAGCATTTATTAGCGTCTAGATGCTTTATATGTACATGTATTTAATCTTTACAACAAACTTGTGAATTATGTATTTTAATTATCCCCATTTTACTAATGAGATCTCTGAAGCAGAACAAAGCAAGATGACTTGCCCAGGGATCCTCCAGAATTCAATCACTTAACCCTTTGTTACATCAACATAGCTGAGTGGGGCTTTCTCCAGCAAAGTTTGATTTGGGGCTTTTCTTTTACAGGTATTTTAGGATTGATCCTTCTATGCCTCCTTTATCACAAGATGATACTGATTTCTTCCTGGCAACATCCTAATGGGAGACAAGCCAGCACTCACATAAGATCAATTTCTGAACCAATAGAATGTATCTAAATTTATTCTGGATCAATGGAAATTCTGTTCTGTAAGCCAATGGGGAAAACAGAATATAGATCAAACCCTCTTTCTGAAAATTCCAGATCACTGTCCACGTGCTTTTTGGCTGGGTTGGCAGGGCCACATTGATTGCATTGATGACCCATTGGAAGAAGTAAACTGCCTGTTGCAGTTTCGCAGTTCTTTGGTATTAATATTAGTGGACACTTACTATGAATCAAACATTATCCCGGAGATGAACATATGTTCTCTCATTTAATCTTCCCAAGAATTTAATGAGATACTTGAAGTTATTATTCCCATTTTAAAGTTGAAAAAATCAAGTCACAGTTAAGTTTATAAATATTATAAGCTCCCATGGGTAGTTGGTAATGGACCCAAAATCTAAGGTTTAGCCTACTTTTTCCATGTCTAAACACTTAATCGAGACATGTCTGATTTGTGATTATTATGTAACAATTTTTATTGGAACTAAGTGTGATGCCACACACTAAAATGTGTTGTGCTGGAAAACACAATCAACTAACCATCAGACACAATCAAGAAGTTTGCACCAGATAATCAATTAGATATCTCTCAGTTCCAAATCCTGGAGATCCTATGGTTCTCTACCTTAGTCAATAACACGGTCTTTGGTTTTGTAGTGGAAGTTAGCATTCACATGTTCTTTGGGGACAAGTATTAAAAGATAGAGATATATAGATATACATATAGCTATAATCACATGGATACAGATATTAACACAAAGATAATTAGAATTACTTAGCCTTATCCTGGGCCAGACCTCCATAACAACATTATAGATTCAGTATTGCATATTAAACCTTACAACACACCTTAAAAATAGGTGTTACATCTTCTTCTTCATCTTACAAATATGGAAATAAAGACTAAGCAAGGTTGAATGACTTACTTTTTGTGACACAGCAAGGGAGGGGTAGAACTCTTATCCTGGCCTTCAGATTCCCCAGATGGTGCTGATGAGATTCAGCCACCCTACAAATGGACAGTAATGACCACTAGCCGAAGGTCTTCATCACAGGCAAATCCTCTGAGGAATCATTAAAAACAGGAGTGGCATCCATTGTTTGAGATGATCTGAGAAAGTTTTTCTACAGCTAACAGGACTATCTCATGACCCATACATTCCTCCTTCCAAGGACTACAATTCTGATCCTGTAAAATATCCTTCCTTAGATTTCCTACTAAACCCATGCCCATTCATCCTTGAATGGTTGATTGAATGTCATTGTCTTCTGGAGACCTAGCTGACTGAGACTTTCCTTACCTCCCCCAGGTAAAGTGAGATTTCCTTCTGGGCAATTCCGAGCACTGGGCATTAACCTAGATGTTATGGCCATTGCTTTGGCATCATGCTGCAAAGATCCACTACCCAAACCCCACCAAAAACAGCATTATCACTTACAACAAAAGTAGAATGCTTGGGCTTGATTTCCACTTCTTATGCTTGTTAGGTAAGTGGCCTTGGGCAGGTTACATAAGTTTGTTTTGTCTTCTTTTTAATCTATAAAGTGGGGCCTTCTAGTGAAGACTAAATAAGACAGTGCTTTCCATGAGTTTCTACATTGTCTGTCACATAGTAAGTTCTCAATAAATGGGGAAAAATGTTATATTGTCCTGTTACTGCTTGCATATCTGCCTTCTCCTCTAGTCCATGAACCCCTCAAGGACAACACCTTTTCTCATTCACCCCTGTTTCCCAGCAGAGACTTGCAAGGTATCTCCTCTTGGTAGATGCGCCATAGGTGTCTGTGAAGTGATGTAATTGCCTGCCTTTCATTTTTTGATCTCTCTTAGATTTCTTCTTCTGCTCTGTTCTGCGGCCAACGTGCTATCCACCTCTCCTTCCTCAAAGCCCCCAGATAGGGCAGGCCTTGAACCCTTCCCAGGCTCAGCAGGTGCTTCTTTGTCTGACTCCAGTCTATAAGACACCACTCCAGAGCTCTCTCACTCCTGATTCATCATTCCCAGAGCACTATGTCCAACATGGCTTTATGTAGCGACACAAGTGGCAGTTCAGTGGTGTGTGCAAGCTTTGCTTTCATTTTGAATCAATGAAAGTTTTAAAAAATCTTACCTTATTCCTCAAAGGCCCATAAAGCCCTTCATGGGGCTCAAGAGAATTGTTCACTGCAAGATTTTAAAATTGCTTCCAGGTTATTTATCATTCATTCAGGTTCACGCTATTCTTTAAAATTCTTATTGATTTTGGAAACAGTCCTTTAATTGATATCAAAAAGCAATTACATTTTCCAGGCTGTAAATCTGCTTCACTTCCAATAGTAAATTCATCATCCCTGTAAATAATTTTCTCTTATTATGCATACGTATTAACCAAACTATAAATAGCATCGTTAGCGTCCCCATGGTTGCCTTAACAATCAGTGACCCTTGAATTTGATTTAGAAAAATTGATTCCTGCTGAAATTTTCCCTTAAGTGAAATTGCCATTCCTGCTGAATGTCCAAGCAAATGAAGGCATTAGAGAGTCATTACCTTCCATTTCCTCTGGACCTCAAAATAGCAGTTTGAACCAGGGATTTACATAGACTCACCTGTTGATGAACAATCCTTAAAAATTACTGCTTTAGTAACAGGCATATTTATTCTTGGCTGATGCTCAAATCTGAGTTTTTAAGAAAAAAGACTTTGCACTGTACCCCCTCCAAAACACACATAGGGTCATGGAGCCCTTGACTTGAAGTCTGATGTCCAGCTGTGGGGAGGCTGTCAGGGAGGTAGAGTAGGAAGGGGAGGGACAGAGAAAGCTTGAGGTTCCTACAGAACAATCCACACCCGAGCATGGTAAACTTGAGGACCCTACAACAACGTGGGCAATGCTCATGATGTGGCACTGAGAGAAAAACCAGAATCCAGGGTGCTCTCTGGGTTGTGATCAAGACACCTTGTATTATGTAGGCACGTGGACAAACACTGAAAGGAAAGCTTAGGAAAATCAGAACATTTCACTTGGAGTGATTGAGTTATACATAAATTTCCTTCATTTTCATGTCTTCATCTTTTTTCTTTATTCTTTTACTATTATTTTCTTAATAAGTGTAAAGCTGGCAAGAAATAAGATAAAAAATCAGTGATATTTGGGTTAGAACCTCACTCAGCCTTGGTTAGAAATAATCGCCAACCTTATGAAGCTGAGTCACATGGAGGCAGTCTGAACCTCAACTTCCACATCTGCAAAATAGGGGTATTTATGTTTGTGCTGTCTAAAACATTGATTACTAGGGCCTCCCCGGTGGCGCAGTGGTTGAGCACTGGGTTGCAAGGCTGCCCGCAGCCTCTGCAGTGCTGGTTTGACCCCTGGCCACCGGGCGAGGGTCCCACATGGTATGACAGACCTCACCTGCCGTGCCCGCTGCTCCCCTCAGCAGTGTATTTAGTCAATCTGCCTGTTCTGTTCCCCACTCTGGCTCTGGTGAATTCTCTCACCCTCCAGCACTTCTGACTGTACCTAGTGCTTGTATAAATAAATAAATAAATCTTTAAAAAATAAATAAATAAAGCATTGATTACTAAACTAAAATGCAAAGCTACTTGTTAATCCACAAAATCATATACAAGTACTAGTTTTGCTCATCTAAATGCAACTACATTTCAAAAAGGGAAATCAAGGGAACAGGACCTAAAACATCCCCTGCCTCACGGCTTCCTTTTGCAGTCTTGGGAACCTAACTCCAGTGCATCTGAAAGTCATGAGACCTTTGATGCACAAGGATTTATTATAATACATTTCCCCCGTAAGACAGGGAAGAGAATAGAATGTATGGTCACATTTCGGGCCTTTACCCCTGAAACGAATTATAAGAGGTAGCTTCGTGTTGATCTGGAAACAAGATTCTTGATACCGGAAGGTATGAGGGCTCCCCACAGGCACAAGAGGAATTGAGTTGAAAAGACACCAAGACAATTTCTCTGAAGGGGCTTCCCCTTGTCTTCCTCATCCTTCTCCTTGTCCTCCTCTACCCAGTGTGTGTGTACTATGGTTTTAGAAGGAGAAGAGAAAGAAAATTGGACAGAAGCAAGTATTTGAAGACATAATGATTGTTTTCAAAATGTAGAGGCAAATAATAAACTCCATACACATGAAGTGCTGTGAATCACAGGTAGAATTAACTACAAAGAAAGCCAAACATAACCCAGCAAAATAAAAATGGCAAACATATTCTCAAATCATAGCTATTCAATAAAATTTGACACATGTGCACATGTTGACACATGTAGCCAACACCCATCATAAAATAGAGAACACTTCCAGAAAGTTTCTCTTAAAAAAATTACTTACTTATGCATACAAGAGCAGAGGTGTAGGCAGAGGTGCAGGAGGTGAGAGGATTCACCAGAGACAGAGTGGGGAGCAGAACAGGCAGACGACCGAAATTACACTGCTGAGGGGAGCAGCTGGTAAGACAGGAGAGGTCTGCTGCGCCATGTGTGTCACCTCCCTGGCTGGGATTGAATTTGTGTGAAGTGGCTGTGGATTGCTTCAAAGCGCTGATGCTTAAGCCCCTGTGCCACCAGGGAGGTCCCAGAAAGTTTCTTCATGTCACTTTCCAGTCAATCCTCCCACCCAGAGGTAATTACTCCTCAATTTCTATTATCTCTGGCTAGTTTTGCTTTTTCAGAAACAACATAAAAATGAGATCACCGGGTATGTACTTTTTTGGGTCTGTCTTTTTTAAGTCAACATGTTTTGAGAGTCACCCACATTTTTACATGCTAATGGCTTATTCTTTCGTTATTGCTGAGAGGTAGTCTATTGTGTGACTATGCAGTTGTTTATCATTTTCCTATTTGTGATAAAAGACTCTCAGAAAAGTCAAAAATGTAGGGATATCCTTCAATCTGATAAAGAGAATTTACAGAAAATGTTAAACTAATATGTGCTTCCTCGTCTGGTGCTCAGGTGCAGCTTCAGTGTTCAGGTTACTCTAACAACTCCAAGGGCTGGGTAGCTTAGATTGCACAGGTCTAGAAGGTGGTAGTCCCACAATTTGGGTGATGCTTCAGTTCCTGGTGAGTTTCTTCTTCCTGGTTTGCAGAGAGATGGGTCTTGAGACTAAATGGCACTCCCATAACCAAAATATAAGGTAGAAAACAAACAGACTGGTAATCCTTCTAAAACCTTTTGCTCAAAAGTAAGCATAATGAAATGTCTGCTCACATTCTATTGGCCAAAGCTAATCACTAGGCCAAGCCCAATGTGGATTCAGCAGCTAAGTATACCCCCTCCTGTGGTAGAGGGTTGAATGGGAGATAGCGAAAGCAAATCTGAAGGGTCAGGGAGTGCATGGACCCCCCATTCTCTCAGCACCTTACAGTGAGACATGGGGGGGGGGCACCTACTGATGACACACAGCCAGCTAGTTGCCAGGAAATGTGAGTTTAGCTTCCTCAGAGGTGCTCATCTGCACCCATCATCTGGTCAACACCTTGGCTTTCCCACCTTGGCTTTCCCACCTTGGCAGCACCTGCCCTGCAACTCTCCCTGGAGAAGGCTTCTCTCCTCTACGTCGTTCTCTGCTCCCACTCAACTTTCTTTAGAGACTTTTCTAGTCTCGGGGTTTCCCTCACTCCAGGGGTCTCTCTGAGTGACTCTTGTAATGCCTCTACCTCTTACATTAAAAGAAAAGACCCCTCTCTTCTTTCTAAGGGACATGCCATTCCAGTCATTGTCTCCCTGCAAAAAATCTCTCTTCCAACCTCTCCAGCCTCCCCATTCTATAAGGTGAAGGTGGGTGATTATCTAATGCATTAGCTTGCTTTGGACTATGGGGCTATTTAACACTTACATCCATCTTGGGTCCTGGTCAAAGTGGAGTTATAAAGATCCTCATTAATAAACTCCTACATATATTTAGCCTTGATAAAGCTTGATGGTGGTATAGGCATTCACCTCAAGATTTTCTAAAGCTTTTCCTATTTTTAGTATTTGCTAATATAAATGTTTAAGAAGATAAGGGTCATATTATTTTTTTCCCTTGATCATCCTTTAGAGGTCACACAAGGCCTCTCCAGAGAACTGAATGAAATGAGAGGTAGAGGGTTTTCACATGTCAAGGGGACAGAACGTACAAAACCTCGTAGTTGTTAGTAAGTCCAGCCTGTTATCAGAACAGAAAGATCTGTAGGGCTAGAGTGGAGTGAGTGAGAGGCAGAGTAGTAGGTAGGCAGGGCCAGGTCCTGTATACCTTTCCTGGCCACAGTGAGGAATCTAGATTTCATTCTAGATACAAAAGGCTTTATACAGGAACATAACATAATTCACACTTACAAAAGATAGTGTTGGAGGGCCTCCCCGGTGGCACAGTGGTTGAGCGCTGGGTTGCGAAGCTGCCTGCAGCCTCTGCGACACCGGTTCGATCCCTGGCTGCTCCCCGGCCACTGGAGGAGGGTCCCACATGGCGCACAGACCTCTCCTGCCGCCCGCTGCTCCCCTCAGCAGTGTACTTTGGTCCTTCTACCTGCTCTGCTCCCCACTCTGGCTCTGGTGGATTCTCTCACCCTCCCGCACTTCTGACTGTACCCAGTGCTTGTATAAATAAATAAATAAATCTTTAAAAAAAAAAAAAAAAAGATAGTGTTGGAGATAGACTAGCCTGGGGTGAAAGTGAGCTCAGGGGACATTTGCAGCCGTCTGAGAGAGAAATTGATGTGTGGACTGGCTGTGTGAACATTTTCCCTCCTGATTCATAAGAAGACTACATTTCTTAATATCTGCTGCTATTAGAAGTGGTCATTGACTTTTTTCTTTATTTGTTTTCTCAGTGAAATATACATAGAAACAATGTGTTTTATTTCTGCATCAGGTTGGCTAGGAAGCTGCATGCAGACTCTTCCTTCTCCTTGCCCATCTGCTGTAATCTCTGAATGTTGAAGACTTAGGGAATGATGGGGCCATGGGATAAAAGTGGCCTGGGCCCCTGAATCCTCCTTGGATGGAAGCCTCTTGCCAATCATGAACAGTAGTGTTAAACTCTAATATTAGGGCAAAATAGTTTTTTTAATTAAAGACTGAAATCAAGAGATTTGTTTGTTGCACCAGCTAGTATTCACCCAGTTTTCAAAGGAGGTGATTAAAATTAGAATATATAACATTTTGGAAGTAGACACTATCCAATTGTCCATTTTGCCTCTGATTCTCATAAGACCCCAGGAAAGGATGTATTATTGTCTCAATTTTACCACCGAAAAAAAGCAGCTCAGCAAAGTTAAATAACTCACATGGGGTCGCACTGCTCATAAGGGGAGAGCCAAAGGATTCAAATGCCAGGATGGTTTA